TTGATGAGATGGGAAAAATATCAATAGAACAGTGTTAAATGTCCAATTTCCTCCATTCTGAGATTCTGGACTTAGTGAATGATTGAATCTGACAAACTGCAATGATATAAGTTAATTTCCATTTTTTAAAAACTCTATTATACAATACACTATAACAAGTTTACCATCATTTTTACAAAATCAACTAACAATGTTGTAAAGATGCAGGAAATGTAAAACAAACACTTTTACGTATCTTATTAGTTAAATAATGAGACTGTTAACAAGCCTAAGAATTGAATCTGAGGAAATGTGAAAAAACAGCATAACTTCTAAATAATGGCCCGATTATACTGATTTTCGAACTCAACCTGTCCTTTAGTAAGATTGACCACTCCTGTGAGTTTCATGACAACAGGCCTATCGGTTTTCCTTGAAATGTGTTAACAGTGTTGCATATATGCTGAAAAGTGAAAAGACAGCATAACTTCTACAATAATGGCCCGATCATGCTGATTTTCGAACTTGACCTGCATTTTATGAATGTCCATCAGCTCTGTAAATATAAAGCCAAAAAGTAAAACTGTGGTCTACTTATCATATTAACGCTGAAAAGTGCACGGCGACTGCGACACATCTGTGTCTGTACATAAAAACGACCAGAACCCTGACGGCAGCAGAGAGGACCCTTTGTTTCAATATGGTGCATCAAACAAAGTCATCAGCATCCATGACAAATGGATTTCAGCCAAGTTGATAATCAACTCACTTTTATATTAGTTTAGGATAGGAACGTTTCAGCTAGGCTGCATGTCCCGACTTTTTGACAGATGTAAAAATCAAAACTCTTTGTTGAGAAATGAACAAATTGAACTGCAAAACATTTAACCCTGATGGTGATATTGTACTTCACAGAATATCATGTATGAAAGAAAAAGTATATGTAGTACATTTATTTCTTTGGAACTTTTTCTTCATGCCTTTCTTTAAGATAAGAAAGGTAATGGAGAGATAACAATATTTATGTATTAATTAAACAACTTTTGCTATGATACTTATTCCATAAATTTTATTTATTATCAGACCACATTGGTATTATGTAATCATATCTAGTCAATATTTGTACATTTAATTTGCTTTTATTTGGGAGCAAATTTGTATCATTTACTATGTACATGGAGGTACGTGTATTTCTGCTACAGATGCATGCTTTAAATCTGGTAAGTGGAAAAACATCCCGTTAACATTGCACAACCATTTGTAAGTGAATCATTAGAAGCCACAGGTTCATGCATACTGATTCCACTTAAGTTTAAATTGTATACAATGTAAATATTGTGCATGATAAAGATACTTGATTTGGAACTAAAGATATGTCAGGTTGTTTGTTATGTTTCTCTGTGCATGTAAAGTGGAACAGTTGGTCAGATCTGGAGTCATGGGGCTTTAAAGTTAATTCTTTGATGACAACTTGCTGAAATAAACTCAACTTATTTATTAAAGTGAAAGCCAAGTTAGATGTTTCACAATGTTATCATCTGCTTATGATTTAATGTAGACTTTATTATGGCTGCAATTGCTCAATTTCTTTATGGCTTCACTTTAATCAAAATACTAGAGTTCAATTCTCTCTCCATACGATATTCTTGTATATACTATTTAGATCAATTGTTTTTATTGTCTCCCTACATCTTCATTTGCACCTTCACAAAACAAATTAAACTGTATGATTATTTTCTCTAAATTGCTTATCCATCCCAAGATTGCACATACACTAGCTGCTTCTGCTTTCTCTGCACAATTTTTATAGCTTCTCAAATACACTAGGACCACCCCAAGATGCATAGTTTCTATTCTGTTCTCTCTAGTCCATGTTCTTGTGGTCTCACCCAGACTTGCTTTAAAATTCCTCAACAAGTCACCACTTACATTCTAGCTATCCTATGTTCTATTAGTCTACACTGCATTCTGTACTCACCATACGTTATAACTTGCACCTGGGTATTGCTGTTCACCTCCCCTGCCAGGGATGCTGCCAATCTCCCCAGGGCCTCCCCCAGGGTAACCCAGGGTTGAGTTGCTGGGCTGAGAGCATTGCTTAAGGCTTGAGCATTTAACTAGAAGAGAGAGATGCATAATTTAACAAATGATAATAAAAATGTGTTTTCACTGACCAAAAATAAAGAAAATGCTGTTTTGCACACCTTTGGCATTAAAAATAAATTGCTGCTTCACATGGCTGAATGCATGTATGCTAAATTGTGAATAGCTATTGCTTTCCTGGACTTAAATTTAACCAGAATGATAAATTTTTCTCAAATTTTTAAATTTTATTATAGACATTTTTTGCTTACACTGTTACACTTTTTTGATGTCCACATTTACAGTTTACAGCATTTACAAAGGTAAAATTATTAACTTTAATAATGGACAATGACGTACAGATTTCTGACATTTCGTCTTCATTTCAAGGACATCTTCAAAGAACAAATCCCTAAAGATGTCCTTGGGATGAGGACGAAACATTGGAATTCTGTACATCGGTGTCCAGTATTAGAGTTAATGATTTTACCTTTAAACACCACAACTGGATAAATCGGAATTTACATTTAAATACAACATTTACAGTTTACAGCATTTACAGCTTACCGCCCCAAATAAACTCTTTCCCTGCATGGCATCTACAAACTGCTGCGCTATTTCTTCCGCCACTCTGGACTGAGCTTCTGTCGTGTTGGCGCCAAGATGTGGCGTACTCACCACCAGGGGGTGCTGTACCAGCGTGAAATCTTTTGGTGGCTCCTGAATGTTGAATTGTTTGAATATTTTAGTACCATGAAAAAATATGAAAAGCTCTCAAAATGTAAAGTTTGTTAGTATATTGTGAAAATGTATATACTGCTATATAAACAATTTTGGTTTCCAAAGAGTAACATGCAGTAATTTAAACTGATTATTACTGCATTTTATGTAATTCTCTAATAAATGGCACTTATGTGCAATATACTGTAGACTTTTTTTCTTTGTTCAAATGTTATTCTAACTCAAATATAGTAAAAGAAAATCAAGCACCCCAGCTATCAGTTTAACCATCTTGCTACAGCATAGTAATAACACTGTAACAATAATAAAACTCAATCCAATTAATAAATTCTGACATAAAACACTCAATATTTGTATTATTTAATGCCTTTAACAATTTTCTCTAAAAAATTGATACTGAGAACCTGGTGACCATTTCTCCTGCCCCGTGCCCAAAATATATGTCTTTATATTAGTAATAATTTTAGCCAAGCTGTACTGAGTCATCCAGTGCCGCTGTACTTGTTGGCCATTAATTCTATTATTTAATTATTTCACACAACAATCAAAGAGAATCCAAGACAATGCCTCTTCATTGTACTTCCTTTAACATTTCCTCTAATAAGTCAGTACTTGTGATTTTCACCAACCTGTATAAACACATCGAGAGCTGCCCCACCACATATCCCAGCATTCAGTGCTTCCAGCAATGCCTCCTCGTCTACAATTCCACCCCTGGCGACATTAATTATCTTGACTCCTTTCTTACACTTAGAAAATACTTCAGCATTTATCATATCTATAAAAGTAAGAAATCAAACATGAAAAGTTAGTATAAAAATCAAATTTACTAGGGGAGATGTCCTTTTATGTGCTTGTATAAAAAACCTGGATTTATTATGTCAAAATAAAAGTCATAAAAATCAACTTGACATTGCACTATAATTCTCATTTGGGAAACTGATAATCTGAGCATCACTGGTGTGCTAAAAAATCTATTACATAAAATTTGCAAACAAAATGCTTCAAACTTCACTAACTTTTTGTTTTTGGTATAAGGGGAGTATGCACAGTAATGTAATCAGCCAAGGGCCACAGCTCTTCTAGAGACATCCACTCCACCCCAAACTCTGCCACCACATCCGCTGGAATGATAGGGTCAAAACCTATCGTCTGCAAAATGTAAGAAAAATTAAGAAACACATTACAAAAAGACGAACATTATTGTTGTTATATTTGTAACCAACATTTCCACAATTAACTTCTTGCTTACATAAATTTATCATTTCTTTAATTTCATGTCATACAAAAGATTTGTAAGACAAAATGTGAAAGCTGATGATGCTTTCTCCAATTTCCTTAGAGTGAAATCTCCTACTTCTCTCAATACAAAAATAAAAATAAAAATAATAATTTGAAAAATATGTATCCCCACAGTTTACATTTTGACAAATTGTGAAATTTAAATAAAACAATTGAAATTATTCAAAATACACCATAATCTTTATATTTTTAACTAGCAAAAAACAACAAGAACAATCATTCCATAAGTAAAAAAAAGGATATCACCATGTTAATCTCACCCTCATTCCAAAAGACTGCATCCTAGTGGCAACCTCCTTTCCAATTCTGCCTAAGCCCACAATGGCGAGGGTCTTGCCAAAAATTTCTGACCCCATAAATTTTTTCCTGTCCCAGCGCCCTGCTCTCAGAGAGTCGTTGGCTTGTGGAACTTGCCTGAAATAAGGTTGATCAGTTGAACTTTATAAGTTCCTTTTTATTCCATATACTTAATATCTATTCTATATCATGTTTATCTGAAAAATGGATATGGACCTGATTTTACTAATTTAAAGTTGCAAACAAAATCATACAATTTTGGGATTAAACACTCATATAAGGGTAGGGTAAATAATAACTTTTTTGAAAAACTCTACTCTAGAGGGACAAGCTATAGTTTGGAATATGCCTTTTTTATGTTTTCAGGGTTGTGAAATGCATCTCTGTTATGTTAGCAATGCCATTACTACATTTCAAATAGAGTTTGGTTACACCTGTTATAAAGTTTTTTTAGATTTACCCTACACTACAGTTATATAAAAAATTCTTTCTTGAAAACAATATTTATTAAATCAATTTCATTCCTTTTTGGTGAATCAAATCTTTTATGTTAAGAGTTAAGTACTCACAGAGTATATCACACATGCAATGACAGCAGTACAAAATTCAATCACACATGCTCATAATCAAATACACAGGAACACAGTGACACACATATATACACATGTATGCAAGCAAGCATGCACACACACACACACACACACACACACACACTGGCATTATCTACCTGCTAAGGACACAGACCATGGTACATGTTAGCTCTGCGGCACTCAGCGTATTACCCCCTGGTGTGCTGAAAGGCAGTAAAATAACAAAATCATTATTAATGAAATCATCCTGGGCTACTTTTAATTCTTAAAGCTGCACGAGTATGTAATACAAATTAATCTCACAGAATAACATATGATAGGATTTATGGAACAGTCCCTTGTTAATGTTTTTCTGTCAAAAAACTAACATAATGCCATTGCAATTTCCCTTTTAAAAAATTAGGAAATTTTGAATTTAATATAAATATAAATTAAGATTGTTTAAGCAAATGCTTAGAAGAGAAGAACTGGTATTTTCATTTTCAATTTATTGTACAATAATGATTCACAACCATAATATACAGACCTTACTTTAATAGATCATTATTAGTACTAATATGACTATAATAAAAAATTTTAATTTCATTTCTACTTTTAATATGGCACTTACTTGTAATTTACATCCCAGGCGATGTAAGCCACATATATACCTGGTATACTTACTTCATCACAATAATTCCCTTCTTGGTGGCAGCATCACAGTCAATATTATCCACCCCTGTTCCAGCGCGGCCGATAATCTTCAGATTGCTGGCTGCAGCAATGACATCAGCAGTAACTTTTGTGGCTGACCGAACGATAAGACCATCATATTTCTAGAAATATAAGGGTGTAACATAGAGTCTGTGAAGTTGGCCGCTGGTCCTATGCCTACAGCCAGTAGTTTATTATTCAGACCAATAGATTTTTCAAAATGTGTGAATTTAGTTGTTTGACATGGCCATATGAGATTTTTTTATACAAGTTTTCAAAAGCGTTTTTGATTTGTTAAATTTTTTTGACATATTTGATTCTTCAAAACAATGAAAAAAAATTGGCAAAATCACTGTCTTGTTATATTACTTATAATAATGCAATAGGTAAATTCAATTTTTTTCCAATTTTATTCCAAATTCCTGATTTTCTGCTCCAGACCTGTACAAGTAGATTTTAGGAAAATAGAGGTGCAAATGGCCATGCAGTAATAAGGGACTGTAAACTGTGTCAATGGCACATTGTGGAGGGAGAGGGGTCAGAGATTGAAGGTTACATAGCAGACATCATGATGGTCTTCATGCACTGCCCCCCCCCCCCTCACCCAACCTCAGTTTTAAAAAAATGAATCGATGCATGTATCATAAGCATTAGTCTCTTTCTGTATCAACTTTTTAATATATGTTTATATGCAGGAGCATTATGCAAAAAACAATTAATCCACATACCCCCCCCCCCCCCAAATGCAACCCCTCTCTTTCAAGCAAAATTTAGGAGATGCATGTATATATATTACGATTTAATATAGCTAAGGGTAATATAAATTATATATTACACTGTATCATTATTCATAAATTTGACATACATCACCAAAACAGAAAGTTTTAAATATCACTTGTCTCAGCTTCTCATAACTGATATATTGTCCCCCCCCCTCATCCCCTGCAAGTAGTGATCTTCCCCATAGCTTGATTTTAATTTTACTTAATTTTAATTTTCAATAAATAGGACCTGTAATGTTCTTAAAATGTATTAACTACTCCAGCCCTGCACCCTAAATATTCTGTTCTTACATGTGACTTAACTTATACTCCCCCCCCTCCCCCAATGCATGTCTGCCTTAATTTAATCAGTTAAATAAAAATTCCTACATAAACACTATGTACACGGGGAACATTGCATCAGCCACTCAGCTGCATTCTGTACAGGATATGAATTTTATTTCAATTAAAGACCAGTTTAACTTCTGTGTTCAAGATATCAAGATTTTATTTCCTCAAAATGGCACTGAAAAAAAAACGTCTTCCCATAAAATATTGATATGCCTAGGCAAAACAATAATGTTGTTTAATGTTTGTTCACAGCTTTGGTAGTTGCTTTTACATTTCTCAAAGTACATTTAAAACTGGAGCAACTCATTTCGTCAACTCATCCTTATATTACATTTAAACAACTCATGCACAAATTTTCCAACGACATGTCCGCGAAGTACTCCCTGGCATTTATCCACTGTCAGCTGTAACTGTTTACCGAGATAACAAACTAGGTCGGAAAACTACCCTTCGGAAGTCCCTCTCTTCAATAAGCGCAAGATAACCCTAACACAATATGAAGTTTGTGTTAATTATTAATTTTGCAAAAGCCCTTGAATTACGCTAGAAAGAATGCAACGCAGTGACTTTCACCGGCCGGCAATACTTGATCACGTGGCGGTCGAGACGCAAAGTAAACAAAACTACTCACCGGGATTTCTTGAATGAGTTGCTCTTTGGTTAATTTAGTGTCCTTTACGACGTCAACCCCGTTTGCTTGAAGTATCTGGACGCATTTGGGATCAACCTCATCACTAATAAGCACTTTTTTAAGCGTAAGAGCCATTGTACTGTTCTAGTGAAGGAGAAAACCACTTTTACTGGTTACGAGCTGATGAAATGTGCAAGGGAAGAGCCCATAGGGGTATTATATCCTCAAACTAGGTCACTTACGGTGAAGGTCACGAGTACACGCACCCAATGCATGGATGGAAGAAAATACACCTGAACAGAGGGGTGACATAAGAGACTGAATAAGGGGGAGGGGAGAAAGTGAGAAAGAGTGAGGGAGAGAGAGAGCGAAAAAGTGTGTGTGAGAGAGACAGAAAGTAAAAGAGAGATAATGCTTGCACAAATTTTCATCGTACACTTTACAACTTATGATGATATAAAGGTTCAACAGTACAAAAAAACTGAGATTGTTGAAGAGTTTCTTAAAGAATACATAGCACAGACTTTAAAAGTTTCCAGGCTCTCTTGGAACTCACCTCACTGCATCTGCCAAAAATGACAGAAGCATGCTGATAAAAGTGACCAGTTTTGAAACTTTTGAGTGGGTACAGACAAACAATATGTGTACACAGTGGTCATTAAAATGAAGATCCAAAAAAATAAAGCATAATGCTTGCCTCAAACCAAAAGCGCTAAAAATGCCACAAAAACATTAACATGGAAAAAAATATTGCGGTATTGATCATGCATTTACTTTATTCATTTTCTGTTATAAATATTTTAACAACAAGAAGACATAAATAATGAAAAAATCACTAATGGTTTTTGTAAGTTTCTTTTTTTTTTAATTCTGGCTGCTTACACTGGCAAGTAAATTTCTAGTCTGTGTGTTACAGTTGTTACTGCATCACCAACAGACGAGCAAAATATCACACAGAGTCACTGATAGACTAGATTATTAATTAATTTGGAGGTTTAACCCACAATGAGTATAAGAAAACTGTATGTCCCCACAAAAAAATCATGAAAAAAAATCAACTTTTTAACAATTGATATAATTGTAGCACCAAATACACTAGTAAATGATGATATTATTATAAATAATTATTGATTGCACTCAAGTTACAGTACCAGTAAATTTGAAGACCAATAAATACTATAAAACTAAACCCTGAAATGGTTATGAAACCAATGCCGTGCTTCCCTATAGATTTGAAGTCAAGTGTAATAAGTCTACTAGTACATCAACATTAAGATAAATGTCTTAAACATATTCTACGCTGATTAACTTTTCATTGAAAACATTCCCTAAATTGATCTGATATGAAAACTGACAAAAGCCCTTGACTTCACTAGACTCCATGTATATACTGTACATAAAGCAGTAAGGTGTATATCACAATTATGTTTACTAAGTATTCACATTATCACAGACTATGTAGGACCTCTTCTATATGGAGAGCATTGTCCCATGGATGTATGCTTGCCTCTAAGGGCATCGGCACATCTTCTTGTCCATTACACTCCTTAATTGCTTCAATCTTTTTTAACAATCTGAATCCACGCCTGGGAAAAATTAGGTCATCCTGGCCTAATTTTAAACAGGCACAGAGATCATTGCTTCCGTCGCCAATATAGGCAATCTTCTGGTACTGAATACCATTTGATTTCTGCTTAGCAATATGTGTTTCCAGAATGTGTCCTTTGCAGAGGTTGATTGTGCTGAGGTCGCACCAGTCTTGAGTGTGGTAATTAGTAATCCTGAGGCAGCCATTGCAGTCAAACTCTGCAGGGTTCGTGTAGACTTCATCCACGTACTGTTTTAGGTCGCTAGCCTCAAGAATCGTATCAATGAATATGGAATTAGAATCCGATATGATGATGACTTCAAATCTGTCACTGGTGCCCAGGTATTTGATCAGCTCTGTCATACCCTGGGTGAACTCTATCTCATGCATGCATTTGTGAATTTGGGCTGCTAGGACTCCTTGCTTATGCAAGTCCTCAAAGATGGCGCCCATGTAGCGCGTCCAGTTTTTGTTGCTGTACATGCTCTTGGTGTCTTCCGGGACTTCTCCATTGGGCAGCAGCTTTGTCACATGTGTGTCACTGTTGTCATCAATGATTGTGTGATCAAAATCAAGGGAGACTAGAATTTTTTTCTCCGTCATGACCTGAAACATTGTAGTACTGTAAATAATTTGCAAGTGATCATTAAATACATCTTTAAAAAATACTCAGCAGTTTTAAGTGTTTTAAGAAAATATATATTGGTGCAATCAGTATCAACATTTTGTATAAAAAAAATCAATTTTTCAACGATATGTACATGGTATCATTAAAATTGATTTATTTAATTTGCCTGACCGAGTTTTTACTCATTTTCATTCATATGATTAAGAAATAAAATGAAACTTGGCGAGTCACAAGAATGATACTAATTTCATAAATATTTGCTGCCAAAATCGAAACTGAGAAATACATATATCAATATATAATATAATTGGAATATTATTTCAAACCATTTCTAGTCTATGATATCAATTTTCGACGTTGTGCAATTCGTTATGTGTGCAGCATACATGTACATGTAGACTAACAATCTGCCGGCTGTTGAGCGTAAAATTACTAAAATTGCCCAACCGAGATTTATTAATATCTGACTATATCAAAGATAATGCATACTGCATGCATATCTGCTTACCTAATTGCTCCAGAATTGTTACAATCTGATGTGGGACAAATGGCCAGATTTCCACATTTTCTGCAAGAAAAATGTCAAAACATCAAATATTCTTATGACCTTAACATTGGTTCTCTTATTTATTTCTAGAAAAGAGGGCGCTAAGACACAACTCTTCAAAATCATATAAAATTTGAGCGCCATCTATCGAAATTACACAACCTATGACGTCAGAGTGTTGTAGTGACAAGAGTTTGCTTGGCAACCATTGAAGTGGGTTATGTGGTAGATGAGGGCTGATTGCAACGGAATTACACAGTTAAATACAACATTAACCAGAAAAATAGAATAAACAAATCAAATAATAATTGTCTTTGGTACTAAGCGGCTAAAATGGCAGCGACAGTATTGCACGGTAGAAGAAAAGGACAAGCAAGAGGTGAGTACCACAAGGACTCAGTCTCATACACTGTAAGAATAATACCTCGAACATGTACACACTGTACGTGTAATTTGTGATGTACTGTGGTAAGTTATAATACATGTATGTAATGTGTAATGTTGTAGTGTGGGTCTGATGGACTTTGACCTACAGTTTTAACAGTAGTTAACTGTCTTAAAATTATTGAGTTTTAGACGTTATGAGTGTACCATTATCTCTGGAACAGTGGAAGTTTATCAAATATGTGCTATACAATATTTGTCACAGTTTTTAGCCCTACATGCTGTGATGGAAACTGCGAATGCTATTCTAGAATGTGGCACCACTTACAAATACAGGGTAACATGAATAAGTAAAGCATAAGTGTCGCTGGGAAAAAGGACTACAATATTATCAAACTATTGATAAACAGATGCAAAACCTTTAACTGCAAATTATATACTACATTGTGCGACAGATTATTATAAGTTTTTTTTAAAGCATTATTTTACCTTTTAGCGGACTCAGCTCCTGGTAGTTTGCAGCAGCCCATGATGACACTGCCTGATGGCACCGACCTACGACAGGTCACTGTCCTCACACAGGGAGACTGGGGTAGGATTAACATGCAACTAAATAGAGGCCAAATTGAGGCCGAGGAGAGGAGAAGGCGGAGAGAGGAGAAAGAAGCCGTGAAGAAGATGTCCAAGGACAAAGTAAAAAACTGGACAAACACAATTGCTGTAAGTTGAAGTTCTTTTCTTTGAGGAAATATGTTCTACTAGAGTTTGTCTAAGGATTTGTGTAATATCTTCGATGTTGAAGCCTCAATTCTAAAATACAGGAGTTTTTTAATGACCAATTATCCATAATTTTAAATATAAGATAATAAAACATGTAGTTATATATTTTTGTCATAAATTATTTTTGTAGAAAATGTCATGATATATTTACATACAAAAGCAATTTTAGAAAAAAAAATTAAAGACATTTCTGATCAGTGTACATGCATTCATGTTTATTTTATCTAACAGGGTCACAGACAGAAGAGACTTGAGGCAAGGAAAATAAGAGAAGAAAAGGAAGAGGCAGAGAGAAAACAGGTTGATCTGGAAGAAGCTCAATTTCAGGCTCAGAAGAGAAAAGAAGCTATTGAAAAGGCAAAGACCCTGCAGTATTACCAGACAGACAGAGTGAAGGGATTCCATGTAAGAGCAGCAAAGTTTACTGACATTGTACATAAAATGTGATTTTCAATGAAGTGAAATAGGAATCTGTTCAAAGTTTAAAAAGAAAATAAAACAATGCCATATATTTTTAAAACCCAAAAGCTTGAATTGAAAAACCAGTACTAATATGTTTAGAAAATGCATAAAGCAATATAAGATTACTAGTAGGTATGACAGCTATTTCAATGTATTAATTCAACTTCAAAGGCCCATTTAACTTGAGTAGAGTTGGTTTTCAAGATAAACAATGAAAAAGATTTCAGAGCAGTACTTGTTATTTGAAGATAAACTTGAGTGCCTTTATTTGTAAGCCCAGTAAAATTGTAATCATTTCATTTTCTACCCTCAGAGTGCGCTGATGTTCACAGAAGTCCTGAAAGAAAGAGAGGCCCAACTTGAGCTAAAACGGCTGAAGGAGAAGGCATACGAAGGCAAGGACAACGACTGGCTGGACAAACAGAGAAAAGACTATGAAGATGGTATCCGTGACGACCAGAGGAAAGCGCTTCAGAGACTGCAAGAAAGAGAGGAGGTGGCAGAGTTTCAGAAAGCACAGTGAGTTCTTATTGACAGTTTTATAATAGTGTCTGGTCAGGTGGTGTCTGGTCAGGTGGTGTCTGGTCAGGATTGCTGTGCTGTGCATTTATCTGGTAATGCATGTATTTATAAAAAGTGCCGTTTTTGTCTGAAAAATTCCCACTTTGCATCAAATTTCCACTTTTTCAAGAAAAAAAAATGGAAAATTCAAATTCAGTACTAATTGAATATTTTAGAAAATGCATAAAGCAATATAGAATTACTAGTAGGTAGGGGTGTCCACTGTTTGTATTCACTCACAAAAATTCAAAGCTTCTCATTTAGTTTAGAAAAGTTGGCTTTCAAGATAAACAAAAACAAAGGCAAGCATTTCATATCCAAGCCGGCTGAGGTATCATTGAATCTCTTGAGCATCTTTTGTTTCTTTTTCAGGATAAGAGAGCATATAAAGGACCGCCTGATCGCCATGGAGGATGACAAGAAGGAGGGCGAGGACCTGAAGAAGCTAGCAATCCAGTACCACCTGGAGAAGAAACGGCTGGAGGACATCAGGAGAGATGAACAGAAGCAGAACATGCAGCAGAATGTGAAAAGGATCGAGGATGTGAAGAAAATGAGGGAAATACAACAGGAGATTGAAGAGGTAGGCAGTGAAGATGGAGTGAATGATTTTATTTGGATTTTTGGTGTGCTGCTCTCTCTCCCCTCCCCTCCCCCCCCTCCCCCCCCTCCATTCTCCCGAATTGGAAATAGAAAATGCCTTTTAGGCTAAAAGATAT